GGCAGAGAACACAAATTGATAAAATGAGTTAATTTTACTATACTTTTTTTTTTCCTTTCTAAAAGCCCTCTCTTTTAGGCAGTGTTCAGGAAACATATTACAGTAAAAGGGAGATAACAAAGGAGTTGGATTTTCTTGCCATAAATTACTTTCCAAGTTAATTTCCTTTAACGATGATTCCAGATTTGCCAGTTTTCATAGCATTGTGTGTCTTACAACCGAGCCTTGGATGGAAAGAAGAACAAGTATTTTCCCATGTTCACTCCTTTTGTGGCAGTGACATGGACTTTCTTATAGGACCTTTGCCAATGGAATACAGAACAACATGAAATTGTTCCGGCATGGAACTGTGTGCTATTGTTGGAGTCCCCAGCTCCCAGAATAAGGTATATGCTCCAAATGCTCTGGGAGCATTTTTGGTAGGTCATACAATTGAAGGAAAAAGATGTCTTAATTTTTCATAGTTATTTTATGAGCTACAAATTGAGTGCTGATGGCCTTTGGAAGGTATTTATGGCCCCCATTCCCTTCTTTCCTTTTGTGTATGTTGGGGAGGGGACATTAAGATCTGAGGTGGTGGTGGTGGTGGTGGGGACAACTGATCCCTAGAATATAGAACCCTCAAGGGCAGAAGTTTTCACATCCTGTCCACGTTTTCAAGCATATGAAGCAATGCCTGAGCTACTTAAGGGCTCTGTAAATGTGCATTGTGTCCCATGAAATGCAGCTTCTGTGTGCCTTCAAGCTGTAGGCTGGACACATGGGTAGACATTTTGATAATGTTCCCTGCCAACTCCTATCGAATAAGCCATAAACTCAGCACCATCATCTCCCAGGCAGAGGAGCCTGAAAATTTGGATAGAATTTTTTTCCCATAGTCCTCTCTTTCCAGCAATGCAACCCTGAGCAAATTGTCTCTGGTGGATGGCAGAAGTTCAATAACCACAGCCCTATCCAACTGCTAATGTGTACAGAAGAGCAGGTCATCAAGAGGGTTGGCTACTGAAGTAACCCCTTTCTTCCAATAGCCCACATTACTATAATGATGCCTTAATAGCAAACCATTTATTAAGAAATGACACAAAGTACATTCTACTCATGACAGGAAAGAGGGGGAAGGGAAGATGCATGACTTAGAAATAACATCTGAAGGCACAATTTCCAAAGTTAACCTTTTGAGGAAAACTCCTTGGTGAACAAGATACTAGGGCTACAGTTACTGCAATATTGCTTAAGAAATGGTCTCTTTTCCTCTATGCCTTTTATGCATATTTATAGAAGGCACTTTAATTTTGACTCCAAATTAAGGGAAGTAAATGGGGATGATAACTATTTCCTTAATTCAAAGCATATTGATTGATCTTCAACTGTCTACACAAAGGGTAGGGAGCTTTTAGGAATACAGAAATCGTTCTTGGATCTGGATGATTTTAAGGTCAGGTGCTCTGATTTCGTCTTCATGACCTAGGGAAGTTATTCCATCTTTTTTTTTTTTTTCCTCAGTCCCTTCGGCACTATGAGTATTAAAAGGAATGGTGGGGTTTATCATTGCATGGCAGCTGACCCATGAAAAAATGCATAATGGTATGTGATGATGATGGTGGTAGTCCTGGGAGCCAGTTCTGCTTGTTTTTCATAGTCATTATGATGCGTGACTATAGAGCTTCCTAGCTACATGGTACCCACTGTTTCCTAATCGTATTCTGTCTTCATTGCTTACTAAAAGCTCTTTCTATCCTCCAGATTAGAGGCTCTGAGAATGCTGTGCCTGTTATAGGGACATTGTGACAGGAAACCTGTATTTAAGAATAAGGCCCTCTCCTCCTGGTCACAGTTTACCATCCTAATAATGTGACCCTACACATGGCATGGTCTGCATCCACTTAAAGTGAAGGGCACATGTACATGCAATGAGCTCATAAGGAAAACACAGTTTGGATCTCCACATTGTCAGGATTATTGAACCCAGATTGAGAAGCTCATTCTCCTTTCTGATTCAAGGATGTTTTAAAATTTGAGATGCACATGTTTGCCAACCTCTGAAACCACTCACCATGAGTCCATAGAACACTCTGGACCAGGCCATATGGTGCCTTTGCTGCATTCCACATTACTGCAAACTATACGATCATTAGAGGTCAATACAGGGAAGGTTAAGGAACATGTGTGTGGGCTGAGTTAATTTTTAAAATACACATGGAGGTAGAGCATTGTATTTACATATATATGTTTCTTCCTTCATGTATTCTGGCTCCCTTGTTATTTTAAAAAGATGACAAAAAGAAAGGACATTTTCTGAGGGTAGATCTCCCGGCACATGAAGTGTTTATTGGAGATCCCCCGGCACATGAAGTGTTTAGTGGAAATGCTGATGTCCATGACTGTGGAGATGTCTCAGCGCTCCCTCCCTCAGCCCAGCCCAGGCCTTCCCACTTGCCTTGACTCTCATTAGCAGCCAGCCTCAGGGGGATCTCACCTTCCTCACTATGCTCAGGGGTGATCAAGCTTTTCTACGAAGATGAGGCCTCAACTCCACTCTGAAATTTGTGAAGAAAATCTAAATTCACATATTTGACACAGACAGGCCTTTCCATTTGCTCTAATTACCAAGGACACATAACAGTAGGCTCCAGGAGGCACAAGGCCTTAAGAGTACCTGTCATGTTATTATGTGTCAGGTAGCTACCGTAATGATGAGTGACATGGGCCATCTTGCATAATGGCCCAGTTCATACATAAAACATTGTGGAATAAAAGATGAAATTATGCAAATAAATTGAATACAAAAGCAAATGATAGAATGACTAGCAGCATTATTGAGCAGGAATCTATTTACACTGTTGTCAAGATGAGCCAGCAGTACCCGCCTCCCCACCCCATTTAAAGAGCCCATCAAAACATGTGTTTGATTTTCAGTTCTCCCTATCTTAGGAAAGATGGTTTTTACATGACAGTGATGCTTGAGATGTAGCCATTGCTATTAGTCAACTCACTGTATATTCTTCGAAATTGCTCTATTCTTTCAAGTCTTCTAACTCCAAAGTTACTCATAGAATGATACAACTCATCCTGTCTCCCAAGCAACAATCCCGGGAAGGACTCCTTCCTGCCACAGTGAACTGGCAACATATTACTAACACCTGGCTTCTCCTGGCATCCTTTGATGTTATCTTACTTCATCTTCTTGCTTAAATGACATCACTAGGGCAATTCAGCCACCCCTTCTCTCCCTTCTCATGTGGGAGAAATTTTTCTAGAGTATAAATGCAAAATTGAGGTTAGTATTTCTATAGGCTGTCGGCCCTTCTTTGTCTCAGTACAACCACCTGCACTTATGACCAGTGCTTATTGGTTGCTTCCTGCTGACAGGGATGATGCTTAGAGACTGGAAATCTAACTGCAGTGGTTTCTACTCTCAAGGATGTAAGTACATCAATGGCTCACAAACTTGTGATGTTTCAGATTCTGATTCAGATTCAGATCAGCACTTCTTATAGAAAAATACCAAATCCTTCATGACCCAACCTTAGCTACCCATCATGACTCAGTGTTAGCCACAGCCCTTTTATTCTGTGTCCTATGACCTAACGGTGTCAGAAACCCAGTTAACAGTTTCTGTTGTCTTATCTTTAGGTTATTTACTCTACCCAGAATTCCTCCTTTCTTCCCAGTTGCTTATCTTCTCGGCATCCTCTGCAGGTACATTTTCTCAGGCCCTTCTATTCCCTTGAGCCTCTTCTTCTTAGGTCAATTTTTAAAGGCTTCTTGGCTATCTGTACTTTCAGTCGGCCAGGTTCCCCTGGAATGTGTTCACAGGTGATGGCTGTGTCTCTGATCTACATCCCTTCTTGGGAAGAGCAGTGCTTCCAAATTATTTTGTGAGTAAAATCTGGACAAATGGTGTTCCTCATTATCTTTTCTCCTGATAGATATCAGTGTATTGAATATGTTTATCTATGTTAATGGGCTTAATATATACAATATATACGAGAGGACACAGCAACTGTCCTACTTTTACATAATATTTCAAAAAGACTACCTTAACTGATAGTCTCACCACAGAATTTATAATTTTGAAAGAATGTTGGTAGATTTTTAATAACTCATTTAAAAATCATTATTAAGATACCATAAACAAGGCATCCAGAGGCTGGAAGACATAAAAATACAGATAGCTACATCTCAGAAAGAATCCATTATGAAGGTAATAGGTTGGTGAAATTGAGCCAGAAGTTAGCAGAATGTTCACTATGGGTGAGTAGCAAATACTTTGGCTCCAGGGGCCATGGGATCCTTCCTATTGTAGCCACAGTTCTTGCTGTTGCTGATGGTATGCAGTGAAGGTGTATGCTGTGAATCTTTCTTTGCAAACACACACACACACACCACTATCACCACCACCACAACAACAACAAAACACAGACCTCAAGGTGTAAACGTGTGCAGGAAGACCGTGTACCACAAAGTAAAGAGAATGGGAGAATGCTGTGTACATTTCACATTTCAGTAAATGAGAAATGGGGGCCTAGATGGATAAATTCATGGAACTTTTATGAAAATTCAGAACGGAATTCCAAAATGCAGATGAGGATAAGCTGTTGGGATCAAAGTTAGAACACCTGGAGAAAATTTGTGGAGCAGTCAGATTTAAAAAAAAAATTAACACTAAAGTATGAGAGGTATTTTCATTTAAACCATCCAGTAATGGATGTAAGCTTGGTGACAATCTACTGTTTAAAAAAAAAAAAGAGTGAGATAAAAAGATAAAAGACACATTAGAAAGAATATGCCTTTCTGGTAGAGATCATTTTTATTGTCATTTTTATTGTCAATACTCCTGTGATGTCACAGTTTATTAGTGACTATTCTGGATAATCTTTGCAGATGAATACAACAGAAAATGTGTTCCATGCTGCACTAACATTGGTTCTTGATCACCTTGAATTTACAGGGACTTAATTTATGGTTTGTTTTCTTTTTTTTTGTTTTCCTCTCTCTAGCACCAATAGCTGCAGGAACCGGCCCCAATTTTTCTCTCTCTGATTTGGAAAGTTCTTCATACTACAGCATGAGTCCAGGAGCAATGAGGAGGTCTCTACCCAGTACATCCTCTACCAGGTAATTGGATTGGTAGCCTCTAAGGAGGCTAAAGCACAGAGAGACACACCTTGATTTTTAACTCTGGGCCTATTGGACATTTATCGATGTGTCTATAACAATAGATGGTACAAAAAGTCAGCCTCAATAAGCTGTCTCATTAGGTACTGGGGATCCATACATACATGGGACAAATCACACACACACACACACACACACACACACACACACCAATAAGAAAAATAATTACTTCAATTATACCCCCCAAAATAAGTATAATTTGAATAGGCTTTATCCAAGGGTAAGGTGCTCAATTCTGAATGCTGGTTAGCTTTAAGAGGAAGCAGGAAAGGCATGGTGATCTGGGAGAGGAGAACATGAGCACAGACATGGAGAAGAACAATAATGAATATAGTGTATTCTTGGGTGGACTTCACTGGGGTAGAAGAGGTAAGTGCTCTGGCTTGATTAGCACAAGGTAGGCACTGATGACACCAGAGTAAGAACCCTGCCCACAACCTTCTTAGCCAGCTGGGCCCTGTAAGTTCTCAAATCTAGTCTGTAGACATTCCCCGAAGATACAACTGATTTGGTATCCAGGCATGAGGTCCTTAAACAATGTAGGTCAGATAGTGGGATAGGGCCATTCTTTGGATCCAAGTGGTCCAGGAGGCCTTTCAAAGCTAATGTTGGAACTGGAACACACAGTCTGCTGTGAGCACCAAGCTTCCTGATCTCCTTAGTTAGTTATCAGAACCAACATCTAGAGAGTACTTTGCAAGAGCCTGCTTTCTCTAGATAGCCTGCACCAGGGGTAGGGGATTAGGCATCCATCAGAGCCACAGTTTCCTTTTACATATTGGCTTTAGCACTGGACTGTGACAACAAAGAAAGCGGTAGAAGAGGTCTGTCAGTCATGTTTGTGTACTTTGCAGAAAAACATTTATCACATGTGATTTCAGTTAAAGCAAATACAAACATTAATGATTGAAAATAATGCCCAGAGTGAGGACATTTTCCTTGGTGGGAGTCTCTCTCACCTTTATGAACACTGTCTGAAATATCAGCTTGAAGATGAATCGAGCAGTCATTTCCAACACTATCCGTTATACCTTCGTCTTCCGCATTGTTTAAATGCTCCCCAACCCCACCCCAGTTCATTATAATATCACCTCCACAAAAAAAAAAAAAAACCAAAAACCAAAGGTCTCAAATCCCAAATGCATTTATAACTGAAAAGGGGGATTATGAATACATTTGGGTGTTAATACACTTGGAGGATTTTGAATGTTTACTGATAGAAGAGACAGTATATTCGGTCAACAATAAAAGCTCTGTAAATACTTCTGGGCAGTGCTAAATTTAAAAAGTTCATGGGTGGCTTGTTTTTCATATGTGAGCTACTATTCCATGTATCCTTCTAGCAGTGTTTCTTACTCCCTGTCCTTCCATACACTCCAAGCTCTGGTTTCTGATCTTATGTTGTGACCTGTAGATGAAGGGCTGCTTATTGTCATTTAAAAGGGTAATGTCATTCTCCTCTTGTGTGAACAACTAGTCCTCATAAAGAATTAATTACAAATATCAGTAGTTAATAACTCAATAATGTTTATTTTTCTCTTGTTGTCCTCTTCCTGGGATGTTTTTATTTAGGTGTGAGTGTGTATGTGTGTGAGAGAGAGATGGGGGGGGGAGAAAGAGAGAGGACAGAGAAAGAGAAAGAGAGACAGAAAGACAGAGAGACAGAGAAAGAGAGACAGAGAGACAGAGACAGAAAGAAGAGGGGAGGAAAGAGAGAATATCGTAGGTGTTCACTTGCAAAGATATCTATGGACATCAAAGGACCACCTTGGTAACCCATTCTCTTCTTTCATTTTCACATGGGTTTCCCAGGGGGAACTTGGGTTATCAAGCTTACCCAGCAAGTGTGTTACCTTCCAAGGAGTCTTACTGCCCACCCTACATTGATTTTAAATAAAAGTCCTTGAATATATAGATTAAACAGAATTATCTGTTATAAGTTAGAAAATATGCCTCAAAAGAGTACCCCAGGATTCACATACAAAACCATGGCCAGCTGGCCCCTGCTGCTGCTGCCCTGTCTATCTGTTGCTTTTTAGTTGTCTTTTAACTTGAGTCTTAATTGTCACCAACAAACTGTTCTGCTATTGCTGCAGTGGAACCACTAGAGCACAGAGTAAGCCACTTGCCCAGGGCTACAGGCCTAATAAAGACAGGGTCACCATTCATATTCAGGTCTTCTGAAATTTACAAACTGTAGTTATTTGCATGAAACTGTCTTAGCAACAATGCTGTACCCAGGAACCTTAGAGTGTGGGATCCTAGCGAAGCATTGTCTCAAATTTCCACCTCAGTCTGACCTGTAGTAGCTGCTGTCTGAATACTGTTACTATATTGTCAGTATGAGCCTATCTTACCTCCCAGTCTGTCTCTATGTCCCTTGAAGGACAATGTCTTAACTTTCCCAACTCAGAAGCTGATAATAAGCACCAAGTAGTTTTACTTGACACTGTGGCCACAAAGCAAAATCAGAGGAGCCTTGCACACTGACAAGCAGAAATGTTCAGATTGGCTTATGTGAGCTCTCGGTGGGAGGAATGGCGTAGCTTTGTGGATACAAAACAAGGCCCGGCAGTCTCATATAATAGGAAGTAAGCAATAGAATCCTGTGTTGGATGGTCCAGGTGGAAGAGACAGAATTAAGGACCAGTTCCAAGAAATAAGTAAACCAAGTGAGCATGATCTGTTTTCTATATGCTTTCTATTTTTCTGGGATGAGCATCTCTAAAATCATAAAAAAGTTGGGTAAAAATAAGGATAAGGGTTTTAGTCTAAAGGACTTTGTCAAGAAAGCTGTCCATAGGCAGTTCATAGAGTCAGTAAATTGTCTCAGGAGCCCCGGGCCTATTCTTCCTAGCAGTGTCTACTTCCCTCCCTCCTAGATCCTGTTCTCTCTCTACCCACACTTCCATCACTCAGATGCTGACCCTGTGTCCATCCTGACCATCCTCATATGCAAGCTCAGGTGTCAACTGTAACCAGACAGTGTCCCACCTTGTGCCATTCATACCTGAATTCTATTAGAGCACCCCAAGAAAATCAAATCTTTAGAACTCAGAAAAATATTAACCATGGGGAGTAACACACAGTGGAATTGGCCTCTGGGGTTGGATCTCATTCAGTATAGATGCATGGATGGTCCCTTGTCCCATGCACACAGCAGCTTTTGAGCACTTAAAACAAGCTGACACTAGAGTAGGCACTAAAGATCAAAACATGGTCCTAATTGATGGGTTATCAACTAGGATGAGGCAGAACCTTCTGGTGATGTCACCTGTACTTCTGGTTCCCAAGACCACAAAATTCTACCAGTCGATTTCTCTAGAAGCATCATTGTTAGGGGTTGAATCCTGGGTCATGTAAATGGTGGTGTCTGGCTACACATGTAAGTCATGGAAAGGAGTCTAGGGAAAGATGCTTGGGATGACAGAAGAGGCAAACTATCCTGGGAAGTTGATATGCAACTCCCAGAGCACTGTTTGCTTGCACCCATGCACCCTGAACACAGCTAGGAACTTGCTTCAAGAAAAAGGAAGGCTATTCACTAGGTGGTCCAAGACTTGTCCTTGAGCACTAAATTACCATGGTCCCATAAGGTTGCTTCCCTGAAATCTGGTTTTAATAAAAATAGAACCTCAAACCTAAGAACATTGGACCACACACATGAAGGATTTGAACTTCTTACCTAAACTGCATCCTAGGTATCCTAAAATTCAGATTGTGTTAGTAACATTGTCTATCTTCCCTTAGCCCGGTTATGACCCTGGCTTTCCCTGCTGCCTCCCCAAGTCTATTTTCTTCCCTCGTATCTACTTTTTCATAATGTGACTCTCATGACACACCCACCTAGAGGCTTCTGAGGTCTCTTTGCTTGTAGGATGAAGTCCAGATGCACTGTATCTTCTCTGACCTCCTTATTCTATTTCTGTGGAGCCCCTCCATTGGTTTCAGCATCTCAGAAGCAATTCTCGGGGCACCACACCTGACTTAAGCCACCACTGACAGACCACTGCTCCTGGAATGCTATGCAGTGTCTAGTGACTTGTACACCATGAGCTCACAGTAAGGGAGTATGCTGCCCTGTCATTCAAGTTTCAGTAGCAGCCCCAGGGAGCAGACATTAACCTTTTAGGTTGTAAGGCATGAGAGAGTCATGGGACAAAAGAAAATATGCCAAGGTTAGGGGGGGGGGAATATATGAAGCTTGAGACAATAGCAGTTTGCCAAAAAGTACAGAGGGTTTTAATATTTTTAAAACCATGATAATGTCTGAGTTGTATATTGGTGGGGCATCAGCCTCCCCGAGCCGTTGCCCGTTCCTGTTGCCGTCTCAGCAGCACTTACAGACTAGTCACAGTGCAGGAATCCTCTGTTCAGAGAAGTACTTCTCAAGCTCCATGGATACCAATGTTCCTCCATCCATACCCTGTGCAGAGTTTCTTCATGACCCCTCTGTTTCTCTCGGGCCTGTCCATCACTGTCCACGAAGAGCCACGTCTGACTCATCAAACTATTCCACACTTGAGTCCTGCCCCCTGGCTTGGAGGAGCTACATAGCCCGTGTCTGATGAATGAAACCCTGGGAAAGCTCTGCATCGTAACACATGGGCAGGTTTCCCAGCAGTCCCTGCCCAAGGCAGATCTGCCCATGCAGGACTGTGTTGCTGGCGCTCTCAGTTTGGTCTGCTAGAGCAGGAAGACGCAGCAGGTGATATTTCACCACTTTCTGACCCTCAAACTTCACTGTGGGAAGAAAAATGCAGTTCTGCTGCTGGAAGAAAAGAAATACTTTGTGGGAGTTTCTTGCTCATACCTCTACAGAAAACCAGTTTTCATTCACACAAATGAAATAAAATATCATTTTGCTCATCTCTGTGTAGAAGGACATATAAGTCCCCAGACTGCTGTATGTCTATGTCCTTGCTGGTCTCAGGGGAATGTACTCCTTCAGCTATTTTTAGTCACTCTGTTTGGTATTTTATCTCTAGTGTGTAGAGGAGTATCTGGACTACATAAATATATAGTATCTTTTTATAATGAACAAATCCAAGTGGAAGATGGGAACTGTCCCACTCCCAAAAGACAGTACAGCCAAAGCACTCCTGAAGGTTCTTGAATCCTGCTTTTTATTTCCTTGGCTTTAACCCTTTGGGGATATCTGCAAGGATTTGAATAGGTTTCTAGGCATGCTGCTAATGACCATCCCTGAGCCACACCTGTGGGATAGGATACTTGGGCTTCCAAAGGGGAAACCAAAGCAGGAACCGACCATCAGCTCCATAAAGCAAAAAGGGCACCAAATGGAGGTGGTGCCAGCAACTTGATCAAAAGAGGTGAAACCAGAACTTGAATGCATAGGCCAAGACTGGGTACCACTTCCAGTGACTTGGCCAACTCCACAAGAGCCTGCACAGGGTCCTAGAATCTCACATCTTCCCAGTGAAGCATCCGGGAGAAAGGTGGTTTAGCGTAATTTTTAAATATGCATTCCTTTATTTTTGTTTTTTTTTCTTTCAGCTCTACGAAGCGCCTCAAGTCTGTGGAGGATGAAATGGATAGTCCTGGTGAAGAACCATTTTACACAGGCCAAGGGCGCTCCCCAGGGAGTGGCAGTCAGTCCAGCGGATGGCATGAAGTAGAGCCAGGTGAGGAGAGGCAGTCATAAAAGGGAAGGAAACCTCGTGTATGTGTGTGTGTGTGTGATTGTGTTGTTATGGCAGAGTGGTGGAGAATAGCAGGCACAACCAAAGTGCATGACAGAATGTGTGTCAGCTCACTCAGGGACTATCACCTGCACTTTGAGCCCACATGCATTTCCTTCTGCTTTGGTCCTTTGTTGAGCTGAGGTCTCACTATGTTACCCACTGTGGCCTCAAGTTCAAGGTTTAAGTGTTCCTCCTGCCTCAGCTTCTTGAGTAGCCAGGATGACAGTTTTCTTTTGTTTTTTATACACGCACACCCCCTTTGGGTTTTGGTTTGTTTTTGTTTTTCTTAATATATTCTAGTGTTCATAAGAAAAATGTAGCTTTCTCCACTTTGTGGATAGCAGTGAAAAAGCAGAAAAAGTCCCCTATGCTGCATATGATAAGTGGACATTTATAACATGAGAACATTTGGGTTTTTTTTTTCCTTTCCTTTTCTTGTTGCTGGCTGTCATCATGAAAGCTACCTCTTTTTTGTCTGTCTGCATCAACCTGAGTACACGTCCGTTAGTCTAACCTTGGGGCTGCCATGTGGCGGCTGTAGAATCTGGAGAGTGATTCTGAGAGTAGCACTTTCTGGAGACCTTAATTGTCTGACTTCCATGGGTTAGGAGAGGGGGCTCCAATGACCTCATCAATACAAGTCAAACTTTAATGTCTGACCTCCATGTGGCTTGGGGGAATGGGCTCCAATGCCTTTGTCAATACAACTCAGATGAGTAAGAAGACAAAGGGGTTTGAAAATCATCTGAAGCCCAGTCTTCAAGTCAATGACAGGGCTATGTGGTTATAGCCCAGACTCCATGACTTTCCTATAAAATACAATCTGACAGTAGTAATAGCTGTTTTCGATGCTCTTGGGGATCGAGTAACGTGGTCTGTAGTGTCCACTTAAGAATTATATCCAGCACAGAGTTATATGGGAGGAAAAAAACAAATTCTCCGACCATCCCTCCCCCACTACTGTCTCAGAGTAACTGCCTGAAAGAACAGACGGGCATCAAGAAAATCTTGGAACTAGCCCCTCATCTTCAACTCTAACACCTCCCTCTCGTCCTCAACACTTTCTCAGTATACAAACTCTCTACGGCTATAGATGGCTTTATATGGCTATAAAGGAGCAGCAGAAGGGAGATTCTAGGGTGATGGACCCATCTGGATCCTGATTATGGGAGTTACCATAATTGATACAGTGCCTGACATTCACAGAAGCATGTGCTTCCTCCCTACATTTGTTGCATCCTATCCTAATTAAAAACAAGTAACAATGAAGCCCTATTGACTGGGTCCTTTCTCTTGTTCCTTTGTGAAAATGTAAATGCCCCTGTGAGGTTTCCTCCTGCCCAGTGTCCTGATGTAGCTCGTCTGTTCACCCACTCAGCAGTCTTCAGTGGAACTTTCTGTGAGAGGTCACAGGTAGATGAGGAATCAGTGATTCCTGCTTCCAAGGGACAGATGGATGGAGAGCAGGTGTGGGATCAGGCGTTCAGTGTTGTGTGGAGCGCCGGGGCATAAGAGCCTCTGGTGTCTTCATTTTATCACGTCACCCACACAGCACTCCAAGTGTGGTCCTTCTCTGAAGGCTGCATGTCACCTTTGTTCCACACTATATCAGCTGACTTAAAGTGCCTGAGATATGTAGCCAGGTCAGGCGAGACCTCAAGTGCTGACTTCCATTGCCAGTAAACCATGACTTCCCTGTAATGCTGATGAAAGGTTCATTTGTATTAAAATCAAATAATTAAAGGATAGAAACCATTTTGGGCCCCCTTTAAAGGACTAGTTAGTCCTAACCAATTTCCCTGCTTTTGGTGAATGAGAATCAGGTATATAGGTGTGGCACATTTTTGCTGGATTTTTGTACTCACGTGTTCCACGTATATTAAAAAGGGCTTATGATGTTAACGATGTTAAGGGACACAAAGCCCCTCACAGTGAGCCCAGCCCTCCCAGCCTCCTCGACCTCTTCTCTGACATATTTGGGGGCTATAAGTGCTGCTTGATCAGAATGCTTTGGCCTAGTAACTCATTCAAAGCGGTTTCTGTTCATACCTACACATTATGACTGGAAGAATTATAAATTCTAACATCTGTGTCTCCACACCCTGTGCAGTCATCAGATAACTAAGTTTAATGGTTAAATCCTCTTTACATGGAGAGATTTTTTTTTCTTTCCTTCTTCTGGAAGTAATTGTGTCCCTGAAAGTATTGCCCATTGTCTTTCCCTGTTCCATTAAAGAAAATATGCAATCTCATGGCTTATATTTGTGGGGGCTGGAGAGCACCGTGGATAAATTTATATTTGGCCATAGTCAGCATAGAAAGTCATAATTGAAACAGGGCCTGAGGGGACATTAAAACACAACTGAGGGATGTTGCACATGTTCGTGGCGACTTTGGTGTCATTAGCTCACACCAGCCACTTTAAATGGATAATTTATGCTGCCAGATGGTCCTTTTTGGGGATTTTCCATCAAGTCCAATCCCCTTTTTGGCACAGAGAACACCTTTATGTTGTTCCCACACTTATCCGGGCCTACATAGCTTGTCCCCAGGGGTACAGTTAATTAAGTGGGAGGCTTTTAGTGGTTCACTCATGTAAATTGCCTTCAGAAATATGTTGGGAATTATGTATATCCCAAATGCATGGACAGCCTGCACTTGGGATAATTCTCTCAAACAAGTATGAAGGGCACTGGGTTTATGCTTCTGATGTGACACAGAGAGTAAGGCTGTACTCATGCCCCTCTCAGAGAGCCTGGCATCTGGGGGTCTGCCCTCACTGGCTTTTTGGGACTGCCGAACTACAGAGGCCTGTAGATGGCCAGAAAGGTAGCCAGGCAAGACTTCCTTGAACAACAAGAAGATGTTGGAAAGTGAATTGGTCCAGACTTCCAGTAAACTGCATGCATGTTTTTCAAACGTATTTCATAGTGTCCTCATCCATTAGTTTGTCTTGGCACTTTTGGTGCACAGCTCTGCCTGTCTGAGGAGCAGCACACAGGAAAACGATGCTCATTTAAAACCCTAGGCAGTCTCAGGCTGGCTCCTGCTTCTCCTGGTGCTATGTTTGTTCCCTCCACTTGGTTCCATTTCCCAACAGTCTCAAAACTTGGTTGGGTTAGTTCTGTATCTACTCATACATTGAGACATGAGCCCCGTGAAACTCTGTCGATCAAAAAATCACAAACTATCAATGGCTGTTCAGCCACACAAGTGAAAAGATGCCCGTGAGCCAAGATGCAAAATATTGGGTAGGAAAGCTGTAGGCAGTGCTTCTTTGGCTGAGGCTAAGTTCTGGTTGCACCTGAGTGCCTACTGTGCACCAAGGTTGTTTTTCAATTAATGCTTTAAAATGTGCAAACTTTTTTTTGAGAACAGCATGCTGATGGTGTATCTGTGGCCAGGATCTGTCTTTCAAACTAAAATTGACTCCAGGGTCTAAGTGTGCTTCTGCGTTTAACCTTTTTTAGCATGATTACTTATGCTAGTGTTCAAGGTCTTGTGTTCTAGATTCATATTTAAGTTGAAAAAGCATAACAGAGATGGTAAGTAACTCATTAAAAAGACCTGAAAATTCCCCATTTCTCTTATCTCTTATCATATAACCTAGGTCTGAGAAAAAAGATATGGCCGACTAAATACACAGAAAATATATATGCAGAGTATTACTATTAACACTAAAATATTTGCCATATCATCCATAAAATAAAAAAATTCTTGGTGTTTAAAACTTGTTCTAATGCTATGTCAGAGAGACCTGTAGTGACCTAAATAGCTGCTGGCCTTGTATCCAGCATCTCCTCCCTCATAGACCCTCTTGCCTTGTCCAGGCTCCATCTATCTTCCTGCCCTAGAATTGTACTCCATGAGCCTGTGACTTAGCCCATCTTTTACATTGCCGTATCCCTAAAACCCTCAACAATGTGTAGAATGTAAGAGATGTTCAATAAATATTGACTGGATGAGTGAATGAAGCAGATTGGAGCTTTCTTATATACTCAGAAGCAGAATGTGCAGCCAACAGTCTCCTTAAAATTGGCATTTCCTATGTTTTTAACCTGCAGGCTTCCAGTTAGATCTAATTAATAGTAAATAGTGGGAAGGATAATTGCCATGGCTCAGCCAAGTATCTCTCTGATCAGTAGTAGGACACCAAACTGCATTCCAACTACCCTTCTCTTAACGGGCATGCTATATGACATAAGAAGATAATGATACATTTAATGATATGTATATCTCAAAGTAACCAAACACAAGGAGCCTGCATGTTCCTATGACAAAGAAATGGTAACTGTTTGAGGTAATATGTCCATGCATCAAAACACCACATCCTACCTCCATAAATATGCATAGTTATCCATCAGTAAGATATAATTCTATATCGCTTAAAAGAAAATTGCAAAAGATACTTCATGATGCATGGCACATGCATCAAGAATCTCAACAGTGATCTCTTTTTATAGGGTGTTTTATATCGTTTAGATGATCTGTTTTTGTAGAGTGTTTTATAGACTTTAGATGATCTATCTGCTTCACTAGTATTGGAAATTTCCATTCTTCCATCTCCACTCTTCTCTTTACAATCACATGTAAGCACCAAGCCACTGTCACCTGAGCACCCACAACTGGCACCACAGGAAGTGTTCAGCAATGCATCTGAGACCACCCAGATCTCAGACGCTGAGATCGACATCTTTAGCACAGCTGTGGGAGAGCCCCTGGACTTTAAATGTTATGCCTTTCTCCCTGTGTTTAGCAGAAATATCTTAAAAACTAACCCAAATGGATAGAAACCTACCCATCTTCACAGGGATCAGAGAAGACCACATACTGGGCAACTCCTGACCCTCAATACAGTAAAGAAAATTGCCCACTTCTTTCTCCTTCTCCCCTGTTCCCTCATTTGCCTCTTTCCTCCATTTCAATGTCTTGTCTCATCT